GCGAGACAAAGAGCCCGACATCACCTATCCAAGGTCCAGGAGACCAACAAATCTAATTATACGACGCTAGACATAGAGAAACGACCTACAAACCGGGAGACCTAGGGTGGATTTTCACCCCCATCCGACGTTTAGGACTCCCTGAGAAACTACTAAGGAAATACTTCGGTCCCTACAAGGTCACCAAGAAAATGGGTGACGTGACATATGAAGTCGAGGCACTCGGCGAAAGAGGCAAGAAGACGGAAGAGGCGAGATACCGTCCACGTCCTCAGGATGAGGCAAGTTTTAGCATACATAACATATAGCATGTACAATTGAAAGGTTTAACAAAATGTTCAAATGAATAAAATTTGTTATTTAAATTGATTTGAAATGGCCAAATAAATATTCTCGATTTTTTTTTTACATTTAAAATATTGTGTGAAAAAATAATACAAATGTGAAATTGACTGGGATAAGGTGAATAAATTAAGAAAAAGGCATCAGCAATTGAACGATAAGGAGATGCCTTTTTCTTTATTTAAAACATTATTGAATCCTGTCAATATTGAATAAACTCGCAATATGTTATACCTTATTACTCCTAGATATTATTCAAGTTGATGATTTTGTCACTAGAATCAACATTCAGAATCAATCGGATTATTCGTTAATGCATTCATCATGTAATATTAGGTTATCAATTGCTACTCTTATCAATGATTTTGTATTATTTTATTATTAAAAATCAAAAGTTGAACTTACCTATCTGGGGCACCGATAACCTGATCAATTGAAATTAGGTATTATTTTTTCAACACATATTCGGTTCATTAGTGGTGTTACCTTCGATTGTAATTGATTGATTAATAAATGGGTTATTTCTCTTTATCTCTTGTTATAAACTCGGATTCCTTTAAGATAACAAATTCGCTAACTATCCTGGTTGGTCTTGAGACTTCACGTCTAATGGTCGACCTCCAGTTTATCAGATGTCGCCAGGCTGATTTTTACTTGGGAATGTTCTGCAGGTCTTCAGGAGTAAATATGGCTATTCTTAGAAAGGTAGCTGTTTGGAAACTTTTAAGGAGGTAAGCGGGTCATCTGAAGAGAACATGGTCGACAGTTTGGTCTTTCTAGTGACAATGTCGTCCCTACAACTGCAAACTATCGAATGTGAAAAATTCAATTTTGAAGGAGAGAGAAATGAAGAGACCATGTGGCCTACCCTCAGTAGAGGAAGGCCACATGGTCTCTTCATTTCTCTCTCCTTTAAAATTGAATTTTTCACATTCGATAGTTTGCAGTTGTAGGGACGATGTAGGCAGGTAAGGTCATCTTTTGATATTTTTGCAGCATCGGCTTTAATAAAGTCGTTTCCTGTGAAGATTGTAGAGGAGGTGCCACAACATTTTATTTTGGATAGGATCGCAACGAGAATGTTTGGGGATGCAGCTATTCTCCTGAGATACCTTATGAAGTGATCTGTGACTCAGATTTCTTTCCAAAATTGGAGGAAATACATTTCGTTATGGTCTCGAACAAATTTTGTAATAGAATGTAATAGCGGCAGAATAAATGGATTCTTTATATCCTTATAAATTGATTTTTCATCGAATTAATTTCCGTTTATGATATTTTATAGTATTATATTCTTGATTTATATTGAGAAATAAATTATTTCCATATTAGGTTCGTGATTGAACATATAAAATCAAGACATAGCTCGATTCTATTTCCAGTTCGCGTTTGATCAATACATAGATCGATTCTTTATCCATGTGCGTTTGATCAATACATAGATCGATTATGTTTCTAGTTAACGTTTGATCAATGCATAGATCGATTCTTTATCCATGTGTGTTTGATAAATACATAGATCGATTCTTTATCCATATGCGTTTGATCAATACATAGATCGATTATGTTTCTAGTTAACGTTTGATCAATGCATAGATCGATTCTTTATCCATGTGTGTTTGATCAATACATAGTTCGATTCCATATCCATGTGCGTTTGATCAATGCATAGTTCGATTCCATATCCATGTGCGTTTGATCAATACATATTTCGATTCCATATCCATGTGCGTTTGATCAATACATAGTTCGATTCCATATCCATGTGCGTTTGATCAATACATAGTTCGATTCCATATCCATGTGCGTTTGATCAACACATAGTTCGATTCTATATTCCAGTAAGGGTTTGATAAAGCATAGATCGTGATGTTATATACCTAGTGCGTGATAGATCAGGTTAGAAATTGTTTTCACATCGAGTACGCCTTTGATCAATATTTTGATTCCATATCCAATGGCCAATTGTTCAATACATATTTTGATAATATATTAGGAATGAAATTGGTTCCAATATTCAGTTTTAATTTGATATCCATGCTCAATTTAATTCTATTCAAGGTGTCCTAAATCGGTTCTCTTCTACATTTTAAGTCAAGCAATAAATTAACTTAATTGTTGTCAATGAAACTTGGCAACCTTACATAAAGAAAGAAAAAAATATATAATTTTTATTTATGTTAAATATAAAATTAATAATAAAACTAGACGAATGACCCGAGCAAAATTTTGATTACCAATCAAATTTTATACCTTAATGGAGAGTTTTATGGTTTATAAAAGTTAAAATCTATATTACATATTGTTTAGGCCTCTTTAGGGTGCAAGATTTTCACTTATGCTAAAATGGTAAACCAAACTCAATATTTCGCAGACATATATATTTATAACCCAAGTTCCTGGAGATTTGGCAGACATAGGTTAATTTATGTAGAGCCAATATAATTTTCGAGCCAACACAGATTTTAAATCCAATATTTTTCGGTATTCCACAAAATTCTGTGGTAATTTTTGTATTTAATTAATAAAAATTATACAAGTACTTATACAAATATAGTACTTGTATATTTTTATATTAAGCAAAAAAAACTCTATCTTTTTTTGCATGTGTTTCAAATTTGGTTGAAATTGATGCATTCTAACTAAATATTTTAGCAAAGCCCACTTAAGAAATTTCGCATATATCTATTCTATATCCATGTGCGTTTGATCAATACATAGATCGATTTTATTTCCTGTTCACGTTTGGTGTGTGGGAATCAGAATCAATAAATTCGCTTATAATAGGTACAGTAGTACCTCCATGAGAGGACACTCGCGCTAGAGGACACCTCTCTATAAAGGAGTTTTCATTTGCAAAATTATCATTTTTACTATTTAGCAACACTCCGGTAAGAGGACACCTCTCCCTAAAGGACATTTTAGCTCTGTAATTAGGTGTCCTTTACAGGGAGGTAGTTCTACTGTACCTCCTTAAATGAAAACACAATCCCAATTCAATTCGTTAGAATTTCACTTATTTGAATTTTATATGTTTTATGTTGCGCCTCATATAGATTTTATTTTACTCCATTTGAAATTTTCTGCATTTTGGTTAAATGAATATTCAACTTTGGTGTTTCTTACTTGAATATCCAACAAATTCATCCAAATAATCCAATATTGTATAAACATGTGCAGGTTATCTAGACTGCTACTCGGCGCTGTAATATTATTTAGACTGATAGCTGGAAAGACAGGTGTTTAAAGGCTATTATAAAGCGAGATAAAAAAATGTAACAAAAGAAGAATCTTTGTACTAGATATCATCATTATAATCGCTTATATACAGTAAAACCTCCCTGTAAAGGACACCTAGTTGCAGAGCAAAAGTGCCTTTATGAAGAGGTGTCCTCTTACCGGAGAGTTGCTACATGGTAAAAACGATCATTTTGACAATGAAAACTGTCCTTTATAGAGAGGTGTCCTCTAGCCGGAGTGTCTTATCATGGAGGTTTTACTGTATAACTCACTTCCTAAAGAGCTAATAATGGCTTTGTAGGAAAAAAATAGAAATATAAAAAAGGTACACTATCTTTACTAATAATTTCATTACAATGTTTTCACAATTTTATTATTATCATTATTAATCATTATTGTTTTGAAGCAAGATTAACAAAAAGTGTAAACATCTCTAATGTATATATTTTTGTTTTGTCAAATTTTCTTGGCATCATTTATGCATGTTAATAAAATAAAGTAACATATAGGTATCCCAGGCTCCTGGAGCGTATCCATAGATCACCAACTATCCGATAAAATATAGGTAATATTGACCTTCATAAATAAAAGGTATATTCGTGGATGGATTTTCTTGATTTATCAAGATTATTTATCAAGATCATTGATTTATCAAGAAAATGGTTTGGCGAAATATCAGGGAACAGGCTAAATCAACGTTTAGTGATTTCTGTTCCACTATATTGCGCTTTGCCATCTAAAAATCTCATATGTGCGTGGTTAGGTTATGCCCTTTTTGATTTTATAAAAGGTATTTTGCAAAACTCTTTGAAAATATGTTTTTAGAACGACATTTGAAAATATCCCGCATGTTTTAAAATGAGATATTTTCAAATGTCGTTCTACAATCATAGGCCGCATTATATTGTATAATAAATATGTTTTATTGATTAGATATTAGTGTAATTACGATGCTCAAAACGTGCTAATTTTACTGCAGAAAAAGGTTTATTTTATGACTCTTTTATGGCAGTATTTGCAACACTAATCCTGTTCATTTTATTTACAGTCATTAAATATGTTGATTCTTATTTTCCTATAGCGCGCGCGCTCACCTTATAATACATAATTCAATAAATTAGGTCCTTTTGATTTCATGTCTTTAGCACAATGTTGTGTGATTCATATACTGTTTCGTTAATAACATTGTAGAACAAAAAATATATTTTTCTTTGTTCCTCATTTCTAATTATGTTTTTCTTGTGTATTATGATACACACAATTGAAAAATAGCAATTTTACAATTCAAATCTCTGTTTTGAGTCTAGGAAATCTGTTTATTTTAAAAATGCTGGAAATATATTTATTTACGGAGCTGCTAAGCAAAATGGATGCTTTTTGAGCCTCCCCCCCCCCCCCCCCCCCCAAAAAAAAAAAAACTTCCCAGCGGGGAATCGAACCCCGATTGCCCGCGTGACAGGAAGGAATACTATAACCACTATACTACCGGGGAAAGGTAATAGCCTACAGCACCCGGTGTTCACAGGTGGTCACCCTCCCAAGTACTGATCGGGCCCGACATTGCTTAACTTCGATGATCGAAGAATTTTAAAAATGCAAGAATATAATAAAGGCCTAATAATGATGACAACTTATTAAAAAAAAAACGAAATTAAAATTAACATACTTCCCGTCGATGTATGTGTATGAAAATTTGCATACTTGCATTGTCATTAGGATTGAGCGAGTGTGCAAATCTTTATGTCGTCTGAAAGTATATTAAAAATATATTAAAACATTCTGAAATTATTTTCTACCAAACATACCTTCTGACTAGCTAGAAGTCTGAAGTTTTGTACACTTGTATTTCTATCGAAATTGAGCAAGTGTGTACAAATCTTTAGCTTTCAACGTGGTCTGGAAGTATGTCAATAACAGATTACAAAATTCCTGAACAGATATGTAACCAAGTTAAATAAAAGCTTTTTAAAAATACGTCATATGCAGTTAAATATTATTAATAACCAATTGCATACCAATTACTTTAAACTTTGGGTGTGTGTCTAGGGCATCATTTAAAAAAACGATTTGAGACGTTGAAGAACACAAGATATTTATTTTTAAAATATAGTTAAAACTTAGATTTAAAATTGAAAAAATAATACTATTCACACATTAAAATTAACAAAATATTTAAATGCATTTTGGCGAGGTTTTCGATTATAATTTAAATTGTTTTCACGAATTTTTTAAATGTCATATATATAGTCCCACATCATGTTCACAGTGTACGAATCATTGTAAAGTGAAAAACGCCGCAATATATTGGTGGAAGCGTTCATCTTGCTCTTTCGAGTATGCTCCTTGTTGTCCTTGAATGTGTCGAGATGGGCGTCCGGTATATGAACTTTGAAGGACATTAAGCACTCCATGGCAGCATAACAAGGGACCAGATTTTCAATCAATTCGACATGATTATCAGCCTTATCTAAGGCTATTATGCATCACTTAGACCCAACTTGATGTGGAGTGATGGCAATAAATTGAGAGTTCTCTAATCGCTGCCACTTGACGTTTCTTATCCCAACAGAGAAGTTGGAAGAATTTGTCTAGTTTTTTTTTTTCTTGTAATTACAAGAAGGTTTGAGATCTAAATATGATTTTTGGATTTATATGTCCTTTTAGGCCATGAAAAATAGATGAAAAAATCAAATCTCAACTCTGAGTACTTTCCAAATTGAAATTGTGCATCACCGTCAGGCAAAAAGACAGACAGACATCGTATTTGTATAGATGATGATCCGGCTTCGCCCGGGTTCTCCCGGGGTGAATGTTTGCCCAACGAAAATTCCTTTACAAATATAATTTATTATGATGGTATCTTATTATTACTCTGAAGTGAAATAATCTGAAAATTTGAAATTTGAAAATGAAACCTAAAATGATTATAGTAATAATGGAACATTAATTGGATTCCTCATGACTAATAATAATGTTTTTTTTTTTTTTTCAATTTAAAGCGCTATGTCCCCCTAGCAAAATCGTGAAGCGTTCCATCTGTTTTAGACAGTCTCTCACGAGAGGTTTTACTGTACAGGCCGTACACCACAACAAACTGGAGAATAAATAGGTCAATGTTTCAAATTATAGTGTGTGTGGATCGATAGAAAATTTTAATATCTAATATTTCTAAAAGCTCATAAATGTTTATGTAAATGACTATTAATTATATTTATAATGTTATAATTATAATAAATAACACATCTGTTAAAACAAATTTCGCCTGTAAAACATTCAATAGCGTTGATCCCGGGCAAAACTGGGTCATTCAGAGTAGTGTAAAAAATAACTATTATAATTCTAGAACTACAAAATATGCAAATGGTTTGTTTATTGTCTAATTTCAGTATTTAAATATCTTATATGTTAACCTATATATATATTCAGCTACCTAAATGCAAAATTTTCCAATGGTTTATTCAGTAGTTAAGGGGAAGAAGAGTAACAAACATCAATTTATCTAGACAAGAATAGAATCAGTAAGGAAGTGAATGTTTGCCTCGAAAATATTTTAACAAATGCTCGTTAGGCAAACTTTCACTCTTGTAAAAAGGGAGCGAGCCGGGTACATTCCCTAGTTGTTTATAATAGATACGATGTCAAATATTAATAATAAAATTTGTGAAATTTCGTATAAGCGCATTTTTTCTTTCTCGTGAATTTGTTCTCTATGTTTGAGATGATACGTTAGGCTCAGCTGTTAGACCTCGCTTCTATTAAGATCTTGAAGGACCTGTGATTTGCATATGGCGGATCTAATTGTGAGAACGGCCAAGATAAATATTTGCTGAACTCTTTAGTCCCTCGAATTCGACGTGTTCGGAATCTATGTGAGCTATAGTTGGACACTTGAAGATTGTTTGAGTTGGTGGCTTGAGATTGTTAGTTGAGACATGATGAAATTCAAAATTAAAACATTTATGAGCTTTTAAAATATTAGATATTAAATTTTTCTATCGATCCACACACTGTAATTTAACACATTGACCTATTTATTCTTCAGTTTGTTGCGGTGTACGGCCTATACAGTAGAACCTACCGTGAGAGACTGCCTAAAATACATGACACGCTTCACGATTTTGCGTGTCATCCTTGCGTAGGGTCCATGTTAACCTTTTTTGTATCGTTCCAATTTTAGTATATGTACCGCCGAACAAGCGTGTACGGAAGCATGGATGTTTCTAGTCTTTACTAGAGGCGATCTCTTATTGGAGAACCAATTCAAACCAAGTCATATTTGATATTAAACAGATGGTTGCTCAGATGGGTCGCTCTTTAGAGATTTTACTGTAGCAAGAAATGTAAAGTCAAATTGAGGTAATATGAGGGTATTTCGTTCAAATCTTGAATATCACTTTTAACATATTGTGACTGAATATAAATAAATATTCATATTTAATGATAAATCATCCTAATTATTTTTCTAAAGATTAAAATGTATCATCATACCCCATGTCCTTCAACTCCTTATTCATTTTTTACCATATCCCACGCGCGCCTCAGGAGCCTGTGGATTGACTAAATAAATAATTAATTAATCCCTAAATACTTTATAAATAAGTAATTTTAACTGGATACTTGTTTCATAGAGCTTTATATTTAAAAGCTTCAAAAACTTCAGTAATTAGACGAATGGCTGGAGAAAATATGTAGTTAAACTTCAACATATGTTAAATTATACGAAAATGATTCTGTCCCAAGCTTGAAAAGCACTCGAATCTGTGACTCCCCTTCTAATCTCATAGCATCTCTTCTCCAGATGGCGTTCACTCCTACCGATGTAGACGAAATGGTTCCCCTCCTCACCATCTACCGCCAAGAAACCTGCAACGCTTCCATGAAAAAGAAGACTAAATCATTCAGACCTTCCAAGCCATGGTGGAACAGGGATATTACCCCGCAACATAGTTGTGATCCTTCAACGCTCTGCTAGCAGAGCGCATTCACATTTACATTGAGGGTTTTTTCAAATGACTATATATCGTGCCTGTCATAACAACCTCAAGGCAGCCATTAGGTGAACAAAACATCTCTCTTGGCTATCGCTTTGCCAGGAAGTTCCATCGGCCGCGGGGATTTCCATCCCCAGCAGAGCTCGCAGGGCACCCAGAGAGTCACCATTTTACAAGCACAATGACCGTGCCCCGGCAAAATTTCCATCTATATTTTGGCCATATATTTGGCTTAGCCACTCTGTCAGCTAAACACCTCTTTGGCAGATTGTGAAGATCACATTTGAGTCCTTGTGGATCTCATTATACGACTGGAGACGACGGGGAAACACAGTCGATATAAATCAATGGACTGGGCGACACAAGGAGATTAATAAGATGGCGGAGGAAGTATGGAGAGACCATGTGGCGAGCCACCCTCAGTATAGGAAGGCATTGAAAGAGGAGGATCTCATGGAATAAACCTCACTCTGTATTGACGAGGGTCATATCCCGAAACCATGGTCTCTGGGTGGGCGCTTCTCAGTTTGACAAAGCTGATTTTGTGACTTTGTCACCGACCCGAGGCTGCTAGTTTGTGGCGATGGTCAATGGATGGAGTTAGTTTTTGATGGGAGAGGCGAACTTTGCTTTTATTGATCAATTTCCTCCCGGCTAATATTCGTCTATATTTAAGAATTAATTATCTAACGCACTTTTTATATGAAATAAAACTATCAGTCACGAATGCTTCTTTTAGTGTCCGTACTGCGATGATAAAGTTTGTTTTATGTGCAAGAGAAACATTCATGCTTGATAAGTTTATTTCTTATATATAGATGGCACTTTATTGCCTTATAATTAAAATTTAGTTTCTTTAGAAGTTACGTTTTTTTTTTATTTACTCTTTCAAGGAAATAACCACACAATTCAACTCAACTATTGTATCTTGTTCAATTAAGCCTATTGTTTGGAATCTATTATTGAGGGTTTGCGTGCTTGTGTCAAATTTATATATTATATTTTATGTCCGCGCGCGCGCTCAAAAAGAAAGAATTTCGCTATAAATCACTAGATAAATGAGGGGAGGAGGTCTTCAGAATTGAATGATATCTTAGGAAAAAGAAACAATATTTTTAGTCAAAATTAGATTTGTATTTATTAGTGAAGAAATGTCTGTTTTATAAATTAGCCCAAACTAAACATTTGCATTCAAAATGAAAATTGTGTGCAGAATTCTCCAATGGCCTCCGATTCTTGAAAAGTACAACCCCACCAGCGAGTGCAAGTAATCAAACGGGGGCTCTGGCACATTTGTAAGTGCAAAGTCGAACTGCTTTTCACATATGTAGACATGTGGTGCACTTACAGTAAAAAGCAGTCGCCAACTTCTACCCACCATGATTATCATGGCCTGTACCACGTGTACTAGGGATAAGCAAAAAAGTGTGTGCAGGATATATACTTTTAAAAGAAATAATTACTCTCATGCGTGCTACTATCCTGAAACTAACCTTAATGG